CGCCTTCCTGGTTGGGCTCTGCATGGATCTGGACGCTGGTCAGACACAGGATCTGCCCACTCGGTTCCCGGTCTGAGTTGCCTTTCTTGAGGTGCCCTTTCGGATCACACACCTTTTTAACGCTGATGGAGCTCAGTGCCTCTGTTTCTTTCGCCACTTCAGTTTTTGTGCGGAATCTAAATCCTTTCTCGGTCCACAGTGGGGAAGATTCACGCCAGTGTGTCCTTCCCTTGTGACATCATTTTTCTTGTCAATATTTGTGACGATTCTCGTCCACTGCACTGCCTCGGCACCTCTTTGTTGAAGATCAGCTGATCATAAATGTGGGGATCTACCTTGGGCTCCACCCGTCGCTCTCTGCTTTTCCCAGTTCACCTCATTGACTCTTCCTCCTCGTGCTGCATCCAGCTGCTCCACAACAGAGAACTGGGTCTGTGTGGGGTTTGTGTGGCTCATGGAGCCATGGAGATCAAGAGGGACACTGTCCTTGCCTCCGTGGACCTGATGTTCTTCCAGGAATGGATAGGCAAAGTGCAAGAGCAGACGCGTACTAAGAGGTGATTTCAGGTAGTGCTTAGTGGGTGCAGGAAGACAAGACACTATGTGACAGAGAGGGGCTGGTGGAGAATTACAGGGCACTTCCACAGCGGAATGCCAAGGAAGGCCACTCTGAGGAGCTAACATTTGAGAAGGAGAAGTCAGCCACACAGATCTGCCAGGCAGAGGGGCAGAATATGACTGAAGATGAAACTGATCCACTAAGGAGGGCAAACAGAGGCATGCAGAACTGTCAAGACACAGCCTAGATTAAACTGTGCCTGAATTCCACCTTGGACTTTTTAGTCCTTGGGCCTTTGTTTCTCTTATTGCTCAGCGGGTTAGAATTGACTTTTCTGTTACAAACAGTAGTGTCCACACTGAAGTTCACGTTAGACCATAAGCTGTGTCAAGGTTGGGGAATAATTGTCTGGTTCAACTTTGCATGCACTCAGCTCTTGTAGGTCACATTTTAAGAGGACCAGCTTTTTTTGTTTTTCTTAAACCACTGGAAGGCTTAGTGCTATTGTGCACGGCAGCCAGGGCGGAACTGAATCAGGGTCCCACTTTGGGTGTGGAGGCTGCTCTGAAGAGGAACTGACCCACGAGGAAGGCAGAACAGAGAGGACCACTTTTTCCAGGAAAATCTTTCTTAGAGCCTGTGTGTCGGGTTCATTTACTTACATGCCTGTCCCGCGTGTGAGCCTGTGAGATGCCCTGGACCATCACACGCCCAGTGCCAGGAACACAGAAATGAAGGACTGAGTCCACAGATGAATGTGTTGCCTATTAATTCTCTCTCTTTTTGAGGTACTAGGGATTGAATATGGGGCCTCATGCATGGTAAGGAAGTGCTCTGCCCCAGACCTTGAAAACTTTTCTAAATTTTGAAGGGGTCTTGCTAAGTTGAGGCTGGACTTGAACTTGTGATCCTCCTCCTGCCTCAGCCTCTGGGGTAGCTGGGGTTACAGGCAAGCGCCACCACGCGCGGCCACAGTATTTATTGCTAGCGTGCAGTTCTTTCCTTCCTTCCTTCCTTCCTCCCTCCCTCTCTTGTCCCCTCCCTCCTTCCTCCTCTCTCTCTTCTCTTTCTCTTCTGCCTTAGCTGGGCAAATTGACAGCAAGGTGCTCCAAAGCAGGGTTCTCTTTAAAGTCAATTCCAGAGACTTGAGAGGCTGAGGCAGGAGGATCACAAGTTTGAGGCCAGCATCGACAACTCAGCGAGGCCCTAAGCAAGACCCTGTCTCAAAATTTAAAAAGTAAAATAAAATAAAAAGGGCTGAGGATATAGCTCAGTGGGAAAGCACCCCTGGGTTCCATCCCCAGGACCATTCCTCCTAAACAAAAAACTGATGCTTTTACATCTTCAGTCCAGTAGAGGGCGCCCACAACAACCAGTAGAAAGAACAAGGGACGGTAGGGCAGGAGCAGGCTTCCCAGTTGTCCACTGGTCACAGTGCTCTTCCAGGGAGGCTGACCTGCCCAGATACAGGGGGTGTCAAATTCATGATGCCAGCCCCTTCCTTCTGGTGGCAACTTAATATTCTTAATAGATAATGCATTCACAAGGTTTCAAATAAAATAAAAAGATAAATAGTAACATTTCCGCCCCCTCCGTGGGCTTTTTGCTTTACCTCCTCAGCAAGTTCCATTGTGATTGTTCTCTTGAGTGTTTTTTGAGAAGGTTTAATGCACATATCAACAGGTATGAATGTCTCTTTACCCGTGCTCCATTTTATCCCAAAGTAGCAGTGTTCTGAACACGCTGTTCTGTACCTGGCATGGTTTGTGTGCCAGATCTTGTGGAACATTCCATATTGGCATATGGAGAGGGTCCTTGTTTTTTTTTTCACAGCTGCATACTCCTCGTGTTGCACCACTCTCACCATCTACTCACCCGTCCACCAATGATGGGCAGTTGGGCTATTCCTGCCCTTCTGCTGTTAGAAATGAACCAATACAAAACCTTGAGTATATATTTTAAAAAATATTTATTTTTTAGTTGTAGTTAGACACAAATACTTTTATTTTATTTGTTTTTAGGCGGTGCTGAGGATCAAACCCAGGGCTTTGAGCGTGCTACGTGAGCACGCTACCCCTGAGCCACAACTCCAGCCCCTTGAATATATTTTACATCCGTGCAAAGGTATCTATAGCAGTGACTCTCAGCTTCAAGTGTGCGTGAGAATCACCCATGGGGTTTTCAGAAGTTCCACCACCCAGGGCGTAGCTCAGACCCATCATCAGAAGCTCTGAGCGCGAGACCAGAGCATCCTGGGGATCCCAGTGTCCAGCCAGGGCTGGGTAGCCTGACCCCCCAAGGCCATAGAGATTTAAAGATGTACCAGATATTGCCAAATGGCCTCCACCGGAGGAGGTTTGAGGGTGTGGGAGTTGTGTCAATTCATGCTCCTACCAGCAGGGTCCACCAGGGCCTGGGTCTTCACAGCCTCTCCTGCTAATGAGACTAGCCAGAGTTTGGATTTTGCCAACCTTCATATGGTTGATTATTATTTTTATAACTGGGGCTGGAGTTCAGGGCCTCACACATGGAAGGCAAGGGCTTTGAACATTTTTTTTTTTTTTTGGTGCTGGGGATTGAATCCAGGGCCTTGTGCATGTGAGGCAAGCACTCTACCAACTGAGCCAAATCCCCAGAAGGCAAGTGCTCTCCATTGAGCTGCACCCCCAGCCCTAGAATTATCTTCCAGGTATCTCAGTCTTGCTTACTTTTTATTTCTCTTATCAGGGATGAAGCTGAGTATCTTTTCATGTGTTTAAGAGTTGTTTGATCTGCCTGGTCACATCTGGTGCTCATTTTCCTTCCTTAGGTTGATCTCTCTAGATGATAAAAGACCAATAGTGGTGAGCATTTTGCTGCTTTGACTTTGCCTCCCTCCCTCCCTCTCTTCTCGTGGTGTTGGGTAGGCAGGTGACCCACTACTGGGCTACACCTCCAGTCCTAACAATTCCAATATTAATTTGCATGTTGTCCCTAACCTTCTGGGTTTCTGTTTGGGACTTCTTTTAATTACTTAGTAACAATGATTTTTAAATGAATTATAATATATATTCTCCCTGTGTCACTCCACCTAACCCTAAGACTCACCAGTGACAGTGGTCTGCTCTTTTCCCTGTTCCATGAAGGTGCTCAGAGGTCTCAAGCTTGCTCAGTGGCCAGAGCGGGAAAGTGGCAGCACCAGAGCAGTCCAAGAGCCTGGGCTCCAGGTCCAGCCTTTTACCTGCCTGCAGGCTGTGAGTGGACTTCGTGGAAGGGCTGGATGAGGGAGGGCATGAAGAGTCCGCAAAGGAACAGCAAGAGAGGATGAGTCAGCTCTTGCTCCCAGGGGGAGGTAAGTCATGAATGCCAATGACCAGAAGACAAAGTCAACAGTGATCCCACCAGCATTTTGGAAGCAGTCCACTTTCTCCCCCCTCCTATTTAACATGCTCAGTTCTTTCCAATTCCTCCCCACCCAGAATCCACAGAACCAAACACTGGGGTGGGGGCAGCGGCCAGCCTGTCTCCTCTGGTTTGCGGCATTATGTCATCCACTTGGAGGTGTTGGGGGGGGG